TCTGCGCGAGCCCCGGGTGTCTGCAGGTGATCCTCCCTCACCAGGCGGTTGGGGCGCCGATCTGGTGGCTTGCCAGCCCCTGGCAGGCTTGTTTTTAAGATGAAGGCCCACCTCAGAATCTTGACCCTGTAGGTAGGTTGCGGCCCAGCAGTCTGCCCGTTTGGCGAGTCCATTCCCACACCGACACTCCAGAAGTGCAGGGAGCTTCGGAAGTGCCACCTCCCGAAGGCTCGTGTTGATCTTCCCCGCCCACCGGCCTCTTCCCCGGGGCTCGCCAGGCATTTACTAGCCGCTATTTCCTCGCTCGTATTGCCGCTTGAAACAGCTCTAGTATTGCAAACCTAGAAGAGACTCGCACATTCTCCCACTGTGCGAAAAAGGACAACGAGGCCCGAGAGAAAGGACTTGTCGCAGAGTTCCCAGTAGATTTTCTTCCTGGAGTGGTTATTGGATACACAGCTTTGACTGGAAGGAGAGATTTAGGCCCACCAGGACCTCTTCCCAGATCTTTGCGTAATTCAGCCTCAGTACAATGGTCCTGATAACTCCTACTGCACCCTTCTTCAGGATTTTTTTTATACATATTTCATTGATTTTTACAGAGAGGAAGGGAGAGGGATAGAGAGTTAGAATCATCGATCAGCTGCCTCCTGCACACTCCCTACTGGGTATATGCCCGCACCAAGGTACGTGCCCTTGACCGGAATGGAACCTGGGACCTTTCAGTTCGCAGGCCGACGCTCTATCCACTGAGCCAAACCAGTTAGGGCTTCTTCAGGATTTTTAAGTCCAAATGAAAGCCCTTTGTAAACTGTAAACTGAAAAGCTTTGTACACAACTGTGACATATATCAAAATAATACGCACTTTTCCTCAGGACAGTTGTGATAGCCTACAGTTATTTACGTTCTCAAAGCACTACAGGACCTGCAAAGGCACCTAAAGTGTGTGTGTGTGTGTGTTGATGACCTCCAAAGCCTAAATTTCTTTATGCTCCTGGAAACACTTCCATTTTTCTTGCCTTCAGTGTCTCAGTACTAGGTAGAGAAGCTCAAGCCTAAGGAATCTGCCCTCAGTGGCATCAGAAGATGACACTTGCCTTTTTAAAGGCCTCGCTTGTGTTTTTTCCCCCGAATCGCTTGATCTGGGCTAGTGGATCATTGCTCAGTCAGAACACCTGTGCACCCCAGAGGATGGGGCTGGAGGCTTGCTTTGGTCATTTTCTTAAAAGACAGGGAAAGCTTAAGACCCCCCACCCTTCTCCCGGGAGCTGCAGGGAGATTAACTGTTTTCACTTATGATGCCAACTTTTTACAGCATGGATAGTAAATTTTCCCACACCAGTGAAATAGTAAGGAAAATGTTCTTAATTCTTCTTTTCTAGGTTGAAGAATTGGCCCTCCAATCAATGATTAGTTCTAGAAGAGAGGATGAGATGCCGTCTTCTCCAGCTGCACAGGAACAGTCACATGATGTAAGCTTAACCAAGTTTGGGCCTAGGGAGCAAATGCAAAGTCCATTCTGCTGTTCGTGTAAATTACATTATCAAGACAAAAGGACTCTGGGAAGTACTGATAAGAATATTCTAGTTTGATAAACTGGCTATTCGATATTGCTGTTTTAGTCAGGGAACAGCCTTGCTGGTTACACCTTGATTGATTTAATATTGACTTATTAATTAGGTACTTGTATTGCCTCCACATCCTAGTCATCCATCCTCGAGTCTAGTTACTTTAATGAACCCAGGGAGAGTGGAGATCTTTGCAGGATATGTCAAACCTCTTGCTGCTCCACGAATAAGTTTGGGTTCAAAAATAATGTAGCTTCATCTACAAAGCATAGTGCTAAAAAGTGAGTTCTGCCCTCATTGTGTCCTCCTCTTACCAAAGGCCCACTTTAAATCAGTAAAATCATCTTCCTAAATATCCCATAGTTTAGCAGCTCTCTCAGTTGTGTGTGAAGCCACTTAAACCCATTTGAAAGCAGCATAATTCTTATGTAAGAAACACTGTTGTAAATCAGGTAACATTCTGTCAAATCTAGGGCATTTATCCTCCCATTTTGGCAATGCGGGTTGGGATGGAGGGCCGACAGGGTAGAATTTGGAGAAACAAGAAAGTGGCCATACCTCTTAGTGGTAAATACTGGGAATGAATACACAATTGATATTTGGTTTTAAACCATTTTTAAGAATTTGCTGTTTTGAGACTAGTGTTCTCCTAATTCATAATGTCCTTGGCTAAAGCAGATGGTGGTGCATGTAGACAATGAAGCATCAATCAACCAAACTGCACTGGAGCTGAGCACAAGGAACCATGCATCAGAAGAGGAGGAGGAAGAGGAGGAAGAAGAATCAGATTCGTGAAGTGGGGAAAGAGCCAGGGTTAGTTGCACAAATTAAATTTCTATGTCGCAGAAACTTTCTAAAGTATTCTTGCCCTGGGCCCTATGGCTTACTTTAAAAGGAAGCAAGACCTTTAGGAGGATGTGTATAATAATTCAAGTTTCAGAATGCTTTAACAAAAATTAGTGACATATAGAAAAGCAAAGATGCAATGTCTTAGCATTGAGCAATATGGGTGGTGCCGTGTCTGTATTCTGGTCAGATCTAGTATTTGTGTTCAAAACAGAAGATTTCCTCTGAAATGCTATTGAGCAAGTTTGGCATTTGCCAAAAGGGCAGAGTGTAAGTACAAGGCAGCCTTTTCAATCAACAATGCCTCTTTTAAGCAAACCAATTAAAGGCTGTTTGCATACCATTGAACGCTTGTAAACATAGCTAAAGTCTAGGAGAGAAAGATGACGAGGACAGAACACCACTGGAGAGCACCAGATGTTGCCACCTCTCAGTGACATCGCAACATACTGCCACTGCGGACTGTTTTGTGTGGCTGTAATCACTTTTATCTAGGTTGAGACATCACAATGATAAAATGTGCATAGAAATAAATTGTAGATGAGTAGCCGTCATGCAGCTAGCTGGTTTCGATAGCAACAGGGGAGCGGATCAGTCCCTCCTCTAGGGAAAACAGGCCAGCCAGCAGGATGATTTAAAACCCACTTCTGAACTTCGGAAGAAATGTGCCATTAAGAAGGAATCATTATGCTTGGGAGATTGGATTTTTATAATAAAGAGATGTTAATTACAGAAAAAGTGTTTGTTAAAACTTAGTGTTTGAAGTTGAGATTTATTTCTGCATACTGTCCATTTCCCATTAAATGTACAGTTAAATAGTTACTTAACTTTATGAAAGTTATTTGCCCTGTCCATGCAATAGAAAAGCCAAACAAAACAGAGAACCTCCTCAAGCAGGACGTCTTATGTAACTGTTCCAGAAGAGAGAACATGGATATGTTTGTTAATCAACATTTCATTAAAGTTATTTTGAGCTACTCTTATAGGAAGTAGCAGGAAGTTTAAATGAACATGCTTTGCAGAAAATACAATGTGAAGATAGTTTTTCAATAAAAAGCCTCAAGGCATACATTTTGGGGGTCCAACTTAAAATATGAGCATGGGTTTCTAAGAGCTAGAAAATCTGATCGCTTGCCCTCGCACATCTTTGCAACTCTCACTTTCCCATCTGTACAATGAGGGTATTTGTACCTGCTCTCGCGCGCGGGTTCCTGTGAGATGCTAATAACATACTGAAAAACCCAACTACTGTTGGTGTTTCAGGAAGAAGTTTGAGGAAGGAATTTGGCATGCAGAACTCAACATAGCAAGACTGATGCAGAGAGCATTGTTCTTGAGAATGAGATCTTAGCAATTACTGGAAAAGAATCCTTTACTTCTCAAAATGTAGTATGTTTGGATATGAATAGAGAATTTAAAAACAGCCCTCAAAAGATACAGGTCACATCACTCCTTCTGTCTCAGACAGAATTTACCCGCTTTAATGAGACATTCTCAGTAGTGGTTGCATTTTACCTGTTAGCAAACGACAGTATGAGGAAGGTGTGGGTCTTAAACCTCAGCCTGAATATTTATGTCAAAAATTATACGGTAGACTGTTGACTTAGAACAGATATTAGCCTCATAGCAAGAAAAAAATATTGACTAGCTAAGGCAGCAGTATACAACCCTGACCAGTTTTTAAAATCCTGGCCGAGTTCCAAGCTCTGATAGATCTGGAGTGGAACTATCTGCTCAGGAGACTTACTCAAATTCTGTTTTTAATTTGAAAACAAAATAGGCTTTTTGTTTTTAAATATACAGGGTGGGGCCAAAGGAGGTTTAGTTATTCGTATGGAAAAACAATGAACATCTGAATAAACTTGCGTACTCGCAACTGTAAACCTACTTTTGCCCACCTGTATATTCACTTTGGTTTTCTATAACCTGCCCTGTCAAAAAAGAAAATGAGGTCTGAAGAGGTGCTGACCAGGCAGCCTCACATGGACCTCAAGTTCCAAAAGTCACTTTCCAAAGAAGGAATGGGTACCAGTGGCCAGCTCGGATCTAGCTTTTTTTGTGACCTCACAGACGTAACAAAACTAATGCCAGATATTCCTCCTCTTCAGAAGGTGTAAAGTGTAACTAGTGAAAGAGGGAAACCATTGCTCAGTGGAGCAAAGCAGCATGGACAGACCATCCCAGTGGAGGCTCCAGTGCCAGCCAGGCGCGGTTCACCACCAGCAAGGCACTCCTGCGAGCATGCTGGCAACCCTCCCAGCCCACCCACCCACTGCTTTTCCCTTACATAAAGAGACAGAAGGAGCAGATGGGATCTATTCACAGGTCCACGGGAAAGGTGGTTGGAAGATTCACAGATTAGGGTGTTTGCTGAGAAGAGTTGGACAAAGCCCAAAGATTGGAATTTCAGGAAGCCCTATTAGTTTAGTCCAAAGCAGTGACGTCCTCAGGGTGGCATTTTCACCTTTCAGACCCCCTTTTCTGTCTTTATCTTTCCCCTCACAAATAATGCTTGGCTAAATCACCTGATTTCTTATGTATTAGAGACACCACAAAAGTAGAAATATATCTTTCAGCCTTTTAACTTGATAGTATATTTATTAGAGTAAGAGATTAGATTTGTTAAACATTTGCATTAAAATGGTTAAAAGGATTTTCGTACAATTTTTAGGCACTATACACACTTGTTTACAATAGCATCATTACTTGAATTTGGGGAAAGGTAAATCGCATACATTTTAATGCCTTGATACACTTGTAACATTCAAAGTAACTCCATTTTAGAAACACTAATCCAAACTTAAAGAGACTGATACCACTAAGTATCCACATAGTATATTTAAAAATAAATATAGAAATATAACCAGAAGTCTATAAATCATCAGAATAGACAGACTGGTGAAGCCCCAATTATCATGGCAGTGAAGGGCTCTGACTAGATTTTGATGGAAATTGCTGAATTCTATACCAAAAGCAAAAACATAATAAAATACCATGACATACACGTTCTGATGCTTATTTTCATAGCAGCAAAGCATGCTTCACATGCACTGCCTGTGAAGGCTCTCACAAGGCTCCTTCCTCAAGTAGAAAGAAGGTACGCCCAGCAAGAATGAAGTACCACCAAGTATGAAAAGAATCCCCCAAAATACAGGTGGCCAGCCAATCATGGTGAGGGGAGAGCAGTGCAATATTCAGTAAGAAAGACTACTCACAGTCGCCAAGGTTTCACTGTAATTCAACGTTGCACATGTTTTGAACATTGACACACACAAAATAGCCCCAAGCACAAAGCCAATCCACTCAGGGAATAATAACAGAATAGGGATGGTAATATTAAAAATGACACAAATAGAATTTTGGCACATGCTGAGTTCATCCTTTGTCGTATGTGAAATGCAATCTGAACAGAGGCACGGGAAAGGCCCGAGAGCAACATGACATGCCACTGGGCAGGGACTCGCTCTTTGCTGTTCCCTAAATGCTTAGACACCAGCCGCATGGGTTGGTGTGCTGGGCTGGTTAAGGCCGATGGTGGAGCAGAGCCAACCTGCAAAATCCACTTCCTCAGCATCAGATCTCTTGATAAAAGCATGAACCTGCATGTGAGGAAAGAGAGGAAGTAATGTTAAAAAAACACACCAAGAATTCAAGAGTCCTGGTAGGTCTAGAGCTCATGCCACATCTGGAAGGAGCCCCTGGAGCCTGCCCTTGAGCAACGGTGGGGGCCAGAAAAGCAGGGCCAGCTGAAGAACAAAGGTCCAGCCCTGCCTGGCTCTGCCAGTCACGCCAGCTGTGAGGCCTGGGGTCCTTTGCTCGCTTCCCTGAGCCCGCTCTCTGAGCTGTAAAATCGGGATAATAGCTCTGCCTTCAGCGTCTCACTCCACTGTTAGAAGGAACAAAGGAACTGATGGACTTGAAAGTGTATATTACACTGTACAGGCTCTACAGCCACGTAAGCTCATACTAGTGTTAGTACTTCCCGACTCCTCCGGCTCCCACCACCACCAAACAAGAGGAGCCAAGTGCAGATGGGGAGGAGCATTGGGGAGGGTGCTGAATATGAGGTGAGACAGTAGAAGAAAAAGAGCGTCCCCATGACTCCTGGACTCCCGGGTCTGCAGGGCCACCCCAGTTTCTCCTTTAAACTGATGGGAGGGAGGACAGAGGGGACTGAGATCTGGTATCCTGCAGCAGGGCCAGCTGCACTGCCGTGATCAAGGCAGAGCAGAGAATGGGCTCAGGAAGTACTGGATGGATGACTGACAGAACAGATGAATAAACAGGTAGTATACGAATCTGAAATAAATGGACTTACCATGAGTTGCTTCAAATCTGCTCTCTCTGCAGGGTTTTTTATTAAGCTTAAAAGAAGAAAGATAACATGAGAGCTGCTGCCTAGAGCTGCTTCTAACTCCCAATTACTTCTGTTTGCCTGCCTGTGCTCCCCACACCCCAATGGCTCTGAGGAGTGCCTGAGCCTTATTCACCTTCCTGTTTGTAGCACAATATCATGCCCACAGAATATTAATAAATGCTTGCTGAACTAAGGTCAAAAAGCAGTATGCCAATCCATGTAGAGCAAGTGCCAAAAGTAGTGGCTATTTTACCGACTGCAATTGTCAGGTGGGGTGGGGAACCTTACAAAAATGGGTACTCTTCCAGATAACAGGGAGCCAACTTACCATTTATTCACAAAATCTTGAAATTCCAGACTGAATACTCCACTGGGCAGTTTTGGAGGAGGCTGCAAATACATGTCAACACATAAGAAATGTCAGGCCTGCTGCCCTGGCCAGTGTGGCTTAGTTGCTTTGAGTGTCATCCCATACACCGAAAGGAGGCAGGTTCAATTCCCTGTCAGGGCATTTACACGGGTTTTGGGTTCAATCCCTGGTAAGAGTGCATAAAGGAGACAACCAATCGATGTTTCTCCCTTCCTCTATCTCAAAACGAATGGCATATCCTCAGGTGAGGAATAAATAAAACAAATCTTTAATTAAATAAATAAATGTTTGGCTTCCTGCCCCAGGCACCTCTCCTCTCCAACCCTGTCTCTGGGCAGTGCTGCCTTTATCCAGTCAAGGAAAGGTCACGGGTCAGGGCCAATGGCTGGCTGCTGGGTCACTGGTGGAACCACTGGTCTCAAACCAGTTAGAACCACTCACCTGTTTAGTTACTGAACAAATCACTGTTCCTCTTGAGTTTCAGTTTACCCTTCTATAAAACGAGGAGGGCCTCATGGCCTTTCCCACCTCACACTCTACGACAGTAAATCTTGGAATGTGGCGTGGGAATAGCCAGCAATTAATAGCAGCAGCTAGGGGCATGTGCAGCCACCAGGCACACTCCAGCTCAGGCAGCACCTGTGAAAGTCACTGAAGGCTAACTAGCTAAACAAAATGTATATCCCCCTTCTAAGCCCTGAAGGAGCAGAGAAAGGTTAATAAAACATTAACTGGCAGAGGCTGGGTCTGGAAGAATGTTAGCTGCATGCTCACTCCGGGAATGAAGCTGTTTGCAGTCACCAGAGCAAGAACACTGGCCATAGCTCATTTTCCAAGGGTGCATGGTGGACATCACTCAGGGCTACCAGGATGAGGCCCTGCCGCACCCTGCTCCTATGCACCACACAGCTCAGAAAACATGACCCACACATGTGACCTGCATTGGGCTGTGTGCAGCTTCCTTGTGAGATGACACCCAGACCCAACCCAGGATGCCATTGTTCTGTTGGGTTACCCAAATAAACAGGTGGTTCAAGGCTAAAAGTTAAATAATAACACTACCAAAAATTCTAGCCTAGCCCTCTTCCCGTGAATGCCTTATAAGAACAGCAGGTGAGCCCTGACCAGTTTGGCTCTGGATAGAGCGCTGGCCTGCGGAGGGCCCCAGGTTCGATTCTGGTCAAGACCATATACCTTGGTTGTGGGCGCATCCCCAGTAGGGAGTATGCAGGAAGCAGCTGAATCGTTTCTCTCTCATCAATGTTTCTAACTCTCTCCCTCTCCTTCTCCCTTCCTCTCTGTAAAAAAAAATCAGTAAAATATATACATTTTTTAAAATATATTTTTATTGATTTTTTACAGAGAGGAAGGGAGAGAGACAGAGAGTTAGAAACATCGATGAGAGAGAAACATCGATCAGCTGCCTCCTGCACACCCCCCACTGGGGAAGTGCCCGCAACCCAGGTACATGCCCCCGACCGGAACTGAACCTGGGACCCTTCAGTCCGCAGGCCGACGCTCTATCTACTGAGCCAAACCGGTTTCGGCTAAAATATATTTTTTAAAAACAACAGCAGGTTGCCCAGCCAGGTGTAGCTCAGTGGTTGAGCATCGACCCAGGAACCGAGAGGTAACCGGTTCGATTCCCGGTCAGGGCATATGCCCAGGTTGCGGGCTCAATCCCCAGTGGGGGGCGTGCAGGAGGCAGCCCATCAGTGATTCTCTCTCATCGATGTTTCTATCTCTCTCTCCCTCTCCCTTCCTCTCTGAAACAATAGAAATATATATATATATATAAAAAGAACAGCAGGTGAATAAGCCTAATCTGAGGCCAAGGACTAACACCCAGCTTAGACCCGCCCTGCAGACTGCTGCTGAGGGAAATATGAAGGGAACATTCACAGGTGAAACCAGAGCTTGGCCTCCAGAGGCCAGGCCAGTGCTGAGTAGGAGGGGGCCAGGCAAGGGAGGGAATGTGCACCAGCAGAGCGTGAGGTGCATGCACCTGTCGCCACGCAGCCCAGCCTCCTGGGAAGTTATAGGGGTCGGGGGGTTGGGAGGAGTAGGTGCTAAGGGAGGAACAGCACTAAGTGGGAGGAATCTGAGCCACTTTCATCCTGGAGCCTGTTTCCTCACCTATATGAAGCAGTGCTTGGAGAATGATTAGGAAACTGTGAAAATATGGAAGAAAGCAGTGCGTACTAGGCAACTGGCAGCTCATGTATAACCTCAGGCCCTCTCTTCCCTTACCATGGCTCCCAAGCACCACTCTCAGCTTAGGTCCCAGCAGAGGATGGCTTCCTGACTACCACCAATGCAATGCACACGGCCTTTTCTGCGTCCTCAAGCAGCCAAGATCAGATCCTGGACTTCTTTTCTATGTCCCATGGCGCTGAGCTTACAGCTGGGCAGTCAGGAAAGAGAGGTCAGTTAACCTCACTGGACTGAGCCAGAGTCAGCGATTTATTAACTGCTAGGGAGTGTCGGGATCTTCCCTGTCGGGTTTGTCACAGATAAGGGGACCTTTATGAGCCTTTTGGGGTCTGGTTTTAGAGAGCAGTAACAAAGTATGAAAAGTTACTCCACTAGTCTCTTGAAGAAGAAAACAGGATGATGCCCTTTCCTATACACCCAGCTGAATGGGGCCTTCAACTGCCTTCCAAACACACCAGAGCTTGTGCATACTGTCCACTACCCATGCTGCTCCTGGGGCCAGGAGTGCTCACCCCGTCCTCAGAAATCCTGTCCTGAGCCCAGCCCAGCTCCTCCAGCCCCGCCCCACCCCCTCTAAGCAACCATGGTGCTAGTCCATAGCTTCCCGTACCTCCCAAATCCACCCAAATTTGATGAATGCTTATCAATCTCTTCCTTCCTTGATCCCTCTTTTTCTTTTTTTAACCATTTAAAAATTTTTATTACTTTTTAACGGGAAAGAGCAACATCGATTTGTTGTTCCACTTATTTATGCACTCACTGGCTGATTCTTTTATGTGCCCTGACTGGGGATCGAACCCATAACCTGGCGTTTCGGGACAAAACTCTAACAAACTGAGCTACCTAGCCAGAGCTATCATTTTTTTTCATTTAAACATACTGGTATACATATTTACAAATAATATGTATTCCCTGTATTAAAGTCAGCTAATAGCGACAAGCAAAAAGAAACCTTTAATCATCTATAATTCTATCTGTATTGTATTGCTTTTCTAGACTTTATATGCACATATATGCATATATACTATTTTTAAAATTGATTTTTAGAGAGAGGAAAGGAGAGAGTGATTATAATATACATACTATTTTATAATCTTTTTCGCATGCAACAATTTATAGTGAATATTCTCCATATTTCTACGCTGTAATTTTTTATGTTCATTTCTTTATTTTATTTTATTGTTTTAATCCTTACTCAGGACATGCTTAGAGAGAGGAAGTAGGGAGAGGAAAAGGGACAGAGAGGGAGAGAAAAGGAGGGAGGGAGAGGGGAGGAGAGGAGAGAAGGAGGGAAGTAGGGAAGGAGGGAGGGAGAGAAACAGCAATGTTAGAAACACTGAAAGAAAAAATAGAAACATTGATCAGTTGTCTCCCATATGCTCCTGGACTGGGGATAGACCCAGTAATCCAGGTATGTGCCTGACTGGGAATCGAACAGGTAATCTTTTAGTGATGGGACAGGCTCAACCAACTGAGCCACTCTGCCCGGGCTGTTCATTGCTTTTAAATGGCACAAGACAAACCTTATATTGCAATTATAAATGCATCTGTTTGCCTCCCCTGCACAATCTAACAGTCTTTAAGACCAGGGACTTTGGATTTCCCGTCTTTGGATCTTCACCACATTCCTGCCACCCCAGTCTTTAGCACATAGAGCAGGCACAGAAATGAAGACATGAGAATGTAAATGGGTAACATGGAGGCTCCTGAATCTGAGAAGAGAGGAGGGACTCAAACTTACCTGAAGATGTTCCCTGGGGAAGGGATTCCTGCAGCCTCTAAACCAGCAACTCGATTCCAAAAGCATGATGCACAAAGCAGAACCCATGATCCGGGTCCCAAGCAGCCCACATTGTGGGAACGACTCCCGGGTTTCCCAGTCAATTCAACTGTGAGTTTTTCTTAAGAGGACCAAGTAGATTCCATGGTCAAGGAAACTGCAGTACTTACCTCGTTGACTATGTAATCCAATAACTCAAAAATTGCCATGGGCGGTCGGCTGTCCATTCCATAAGCTACAGATTTTATAAAAAGAAAGAAGAAAACACTTCTCAGAAACAGATGGGAGAAGTCTTTGCCAGTAAGAGGCTAGGTGTTGGTCGTGGATCCCGGGGACCAGTATAGGGTCGTGGACAGTAAAGAGACACAACAGCCACAGATCAGGCCTGAACACACAGGGGACCAGCAAAGGTCACAGAGCCAGCCAGCCATGGTATGAGTCTGGGCTCTGCCACATCAAAGGATTTTTACTTTGGGCAAATTAATTGTCCCTGAGCCTAGTTTTGAGCTTTGGATAATATTTATGTCTGCCCTTCCTTATATTGAGAGAGGAGCAAATGAGATAATACTAAACAACTAAAAAACTTAGTTTTAATTCTCCCTGAACTTGTTTTTTTTTTTCCTTTTATATTCCTGAGTCACAGACCAGCCTGAGGGGCTGCAGTCACCAGCCTCTCCAATGCTTCTCCCTTCATACATGCCCTCTCCCATGCGGGCCTTATGAGGATAAAGATCAGGTCTCCCTGGTCAGACCTCTATTAGAAGATGGCTGGGCCAGGATCTTCTGAGTACCAGCTTTACTCGCCTATTCCGGTTCAAAGAGGCAGGCAGTGCTGCACAGTGCTCACCACCTCGGAGTCAGAATTGGCCAATCCCAACTGTATGTGGCCTTTGCAAGTCAAGCACTCTGTGCCTGTTTCCTCATATCTAACATAGAGATTATAATAGTGCTTACACACAACTGTTATTAAAATTAGACAATGGTAGGTAAATCCATGGAGACAGAAAATAGATTGCTGGGGATGAGGTGGGGGGAGTTGGGAGTGAATGCTAATGGAGATGAGGTTTCTTTTTGTAGTGACGGAAATGTTCTGGAATTACATAGTGGAGATAGCTGCACTACATGGAGGAATATACTAAACACCACTGAACTGAACACTTTAAAATGTGTGTTTTATGTTATATGAATTTTATCTCAGAAAAATAATCTACCTAAAATAAAAAGAAGAAAATGTCATGATTTTTAAAAATTAGATAATGCACACAGGTGCAAAGTGCAGTGCTGAGAACATAGCAGCACTCAATAAATGTAGGAAGTTGTTGGTTTAACAGTAATTTCCTACACTTACCTGGAGACTTCTGCCCTGCTTCCCCAGCCCCAGCCTGGCGTCCTGAGACAGGGAGCCAGCCCTCCAGAAATGACCGACAGTAAGCGACCCCCACACTCCAAGCTGGAGCACATCATGACACTCACAGCTAAGGGGCCTCCCAGGGGTCCTTGGCCGGGGTGGTGTCTCAGCCGCATCTCCCTCCACCTGGCACCCAAACATCAGCTCCAGCTCCTTGGCATCTGGAGGAGGGATGGGATACCTCCCAACCGCCATCTCAACCAGAGAGAGCCCCATGCTCCAGATGTCCGACTGCACGGAGTAATGAGTCCCCTGGAGTCTCTCTGGCTGCAGGAGACAGAAATCATTACAAATACCTGTGAGCCAACCTGGGCCCATGCAGAAGAGGGGTGGAGTCCCTCAGTGGGAGCCTCAGGACTTCCTGCCCCCCTGAGACTTGCCTGCACTGCAGGAGCGTGGGCTTCCCCTGGGTCTGCTGATACATTTCATTTTCTTTTGCCCTTTTCTCTCCAGAGTTCACATGTCAAGTTAATACTTCCACTAACCTACTGAATTTGGCCTTCTGCCTGTCCCTAAACACTGTGCTTACCAGTCCTAGCCAGCTCTCATGGCTCTGACCCCTCCTCAGTTCTCTGTCTCCCTGTAACCTGCCCAGAACCGCATCCAGCCCAGCTGTGGTTGCAGCGCTGCCCAGCCTGGCCACTGTCGTGCATGGGTGGGCACTCTGTCCAGAGCCCAGCATAAGAGGCTCACCTTGTTACCTGAGTCTGAAACATGAAGCTTCTGGAACATGGGTCATGAATGAGATGGTGCAGTGAGTGGAAAGAAGTTCGAAGCCCAGCTCTACCAATGACTCCCTGCTTTTGGAATGGCAGAAAAGCAAAACGATCTGGGTTCAGAAGACAGGGGTTCAAAGCCCACTCTGGGACGTCTAAGCTACATGATCCTGAGCCTCTATTCCCACATCTATAAAATGGGAGCTGGCAATGATGGTAACAACAGTAATAACATAAAATACGCGCCCTACTTACTAGGGTGATCAGGGAGTTCAAACGAAAATACATGTTGTATGTTGCAAAATACTGTATGAGTTGTTACTTGTGGGAAGAGGCAAAGAAAAAGAATATAGTGCTATATAAAAGCATTATTGGAAATAGCACATGTATTTCAAAAACTGTATAAAAATCCTTATTCTGACCATCATACTTTTTTTTTAAAGATTTTTAAAATTGCTTTTTAGAGAAAGAGAGAGGGGAAAAAACACTGATGTGAGAGTGGAACATCAATCAGCTTCCTCCTGCCTGGCCCCTTTTGGGGATCAAGCCCGAAACCCAAGCATGTGCCCTGACTGGGAATTGAACAGGCACCTTTCAGTGCACTGGACGACACCCAACCAACTGAGCCACACCAGCCAGAGCCATCATACATTTATTTAGACAACAAATTAACTTCTCTCATAGGATTTTTCCCTAACTCCAACACTGGACTACTTTGGAACTGACCACATAACCACAAAAACTCAAACCACTAAACAAACCCCTGGATCAATAAGTCCCAGGCCCTGCTAATTAATTTTGAATTTGAGAGTTGGCAGTTGAGTGGCCGGCAGAGAAAGCGTTCTGAAGGGCCGTGGGTTTCATGTTTAAGACTGTGGGTCACTGGAATGGAGGGTGGAGATGTGGGTCAGCGCTGGTTGGGCGATGCCAGCAATGCCTGGAGTTGTGGTGGGGAGGGGCAGGCGAGAAGAAATGAGGATGTGAATGTGAACTTCCACCAGGGAGGCCTGGGACAGCTTACAAATCCTACCTGAGAAGCAAGTGAGGGAATGCGTGCAAAGGGAGACTGACTAGCAAGAAAGAGATCTAGCTTTCAGTCCTGGCTCAGCAAGGTAAAGCAAGCAGGTCATTTAACCTCCCTCAATCTGGATTGCCTCAGCTTTAAAATGGGAACAAGCACATGGATCAAATGAGATCACTCAACGATGTAAACGTGCCTGAAAGATAACTCATAAAACACTCTCTGTTCAAAGACGCCCGAGCCTCTGTGCCTGGCCCTCCAATCCAGCCTGCACTCGTGTTCGCCTCCTGCTCCCTCTAACGCTCCTCTGCTCTGCTCCACTCAGCACTCGCCTCCCGCTCACTCTAATGCTCCTCCAATCTGCTCCACTCAGCGCTCACCCAGTCAAGCCTCCCCCTTTCTGAGTCATCCTACGGAGCGTGCTAGCCACTTCCCACCCATTCAGTCAACCAAACATTCACCCACTCACCAACCATCCCCCCTCAGCACCCACCCTGTGCCAGGCCCTGAGCCAGAGCCTGGGGACAACACAGACACCTACAGTCGTATCCCTGCCCCAAGAGCTTGCTGTATGGAGGAGGGAGGAGAAGAGCTGGTGCTGCCATGGTCGTGGGCACAGCTTGACACAGAGCTCTGGTGGCAGTGGGAACCGCGGAGTTGGAAACAGGAGGGAAGACCTTCATGACCAGGCCCAGAACCCCAATTATGCTCAAGGCCTATGAAAGGCTAAGACCATCTATCTCCCTGTTAGACTGAAATCTCCTCAGGAAGGGACCATAATGCTTCACCAATCATTTCTCCCCCAAACCCCCTATCACCAGATTCTGGCTCCACAGGAAAAGACACCCATTTAGTTCCTATCCCTGACCAGACCAGAAGCTCGAGAAATGGAACCCATTGCTCATACCGACATGTAGGACCTTGTGCCCACGAAGGAGTTGGCCATGGAGTCGATGAGCTGCCCGCTGACTCCAAAGTCACAGAGCTTGATCTCCCCACGGGAGTTCACTAGGATGTTAGAAGGCTTGACATCTGCAGGGAAAAGAAAATTGAAAAGTAGGCAACTGCCCTGACCATGTGGCTCGGTTGGTTGAGTGTCGTCCTGTGCACCATAAGATCACCGGTTCAATTTCCAGTCAAGGCACATGCTCAGGCTGCAGGTTCAGTCCCCTGTCTGGGTGCACACAAGAGGCAACCGATCAATGTTTCTCTCTCACATTAATGTTTCTCTCTCTCTCTCTCTCTCTCTCTCTCTCTCTCTCTCTCTCCCCGACCCTCTCTCCCTCCTTCCCTCCCTTCTTCTCTCTAAAGTCAATAAAAACATATTTGTTAATGTAGAAAAGAAAAAGCAAAGTATGAAATTGACACAGGTAGGCTGGGGAGAAGAAAAGTCAGCATCCCACAGACAGACCAGCCCTGACCATGAGTCTCAGGACATACCCCTGCCCCCATCAGAGTCAGCCCTCAGACTGCAAACACTTGATACCAAGACCTCCTATTCCCCCCATTCAGGGTTCGAGTAAAGACTGTCAGGAGAGGGAATGGCAAGCTGCTATAGAAGCAGAGCAGAAAGCCAGGATATTTCAACTCTTTGAGAATCCCGACTTGGCCAGATGACCATTAGAAGGAGTCAGTCACCATGAATAACCAAGATTTCAAAGTCTGTTGCTTCAACCGTCCCTTTTAGCAGAGCATGTGGGTTTTAGGAATATGTGTGGCAGTGGTTAGGAGCTATCATGATTCTTTCACTAAAGTCATTTCGCTAACAGCTTACACAGCAGTGTCTACCTGTTAGTCAAGGAGAGCTGGAGAACTAGAAAGGCCTGGAAAACTCCTCGCTGTGTTCCAGGCAGTGCCCCCTGGACCAACCCCATCCCTCTTCCCTGCACATAGACCTTCCCACTTCCTGCCCTCGCTGCACTGGGCCCTTTGTTTTCTTCCACCGTCTCCTCTAATTCAAGCAGCTGACCTGTAAAGTGGGCAGACCAGGGCCAAGTATTATTCTCATTTACAGGTGGGAAAACTGAGGCTAGGACTTTGTGGGCAGACATCAGCAAACATGAGACCCACTCAAGAGCAGGCCACAACCAGGGACAAAGTCATAAACCATGACAGGGAATCTTTGTCAGAAGTAATAGAGACACTATATAGAACATCAGAGAATCAGGGTATAAACCAAATCCCCATAATTCTAACCTACCAGAACTGCTATTAATATTTTATTTTTCCCTTTAATACTCTCATATGAATGTATTTATTTTTAAACAGATTCTAACAGCTCTATTTAAGTATTTTTCCAAGAATAAATTGGGAAAAAAGATCACCCTTTCATATCCCAGTAGGTCCTTCCCCTACCCCACCCCCGCCTGGCCCATCATCTTCAGCTCAAATGGGGTCATAACCACAGCACCCCTCTCCACCTAACATCATCAGCTCCAAGAGAGAGGAATGTTGGCTGTCTGTCTCACCACTGTAACCCCAGAGTCAGGACTAGACCCTGGCACACACCAGGTGCTCCAAAACACAGTGAATGAAATATTTAAATTCACAATGTACCAATGTACACACTCCAAGCCATCTGAGCAGTCTTTCTAAGACCCAGCCCTCATAGGAAATAAGACCTTTCCAAACTCCTCTGCAACCCTGTGGCTCCTACATACAGACTTTCAGAACGTAGGCATCAGAAGTGGCCTTAGAGATCACCTGGCTCCTCCCCTTCATGGTGGCGATGAAATATCTAAGGCCCAAAGGAGTCCAGGGACTTGGCTGAGGTCACACAGCAAAATACTGAATGAAGTTGGAATCAGAACTCAGACCTTCTAATACCTAGACCTGTCCTCTTCCCACCTACCGTAATGCCACATTACTCAACTGTTCCACTTATTCACATATATTCACTGAGCACCTACTACATGCCAGGCACCATGCAGGTATCAGGAAGACAATAGCGAGCAAACTGATCATGTCTAGTGTAAAATGAAGTATACACTTTAGTGTACTTGAGGAAACAAACAAAAACAAACTGACAAACCAATGTGTAACGTCAGATAGTCTCAAGTACCACGAAGAAAAGAAAAATAACAAAACCATGAAAAAACACAGACAGTGGAAGTGGGGTGCTGTTGTGACAGGGCAATGAGGGAAAGTCTCGCTGTGGCGATGATCCTTGAAGACAACAACCTGGATGAAGCGAGGGACTTGTGCGACTTCCTGGGGAATTACTTCAAGCACAAGGGGAGGTTATAAACGTTAGGAGGTCAGGGACTAACCTTTCTTTTTTCCCAGGCCTAACATTAGGACAAGCCCAGACAAACACTTTCAATCACGGAGGTCCTCCTTTCCACAGTACTGTCGCCCTTCTCAAACAGATGTGGACTAAAGGGGCCACATGCTAACCTGACAAGCTCAGGGGAGGCCTGCATGACGGTCTTGCAAACTCAGAGACCTAAAGTAACCACAAAAGATGGCCTGAAATTAAACTTTAACTAAAAGCAGTTATGGTGGGTAGTTACAACCTAGGCCATTATCTTCACTGACAAGGTCAACCTTTACCTTAATTAAGCCTGTCTTTTTGCATCTATAATAACATATCCCTGAAATGTCTGGGTAACTTGTAACTTCCCTTTTTCTGGACCCCTTGGGGCACAACCTAACGTGCCTGGGTGCCAGAATAGATACCACAAATTCCTTCATTGTTATCATGTTAATTGTTCCTACACCCACCTAAGTATGTGTCTATCATTTTACCTTTTATCCAATCCCAGGGGTTTTCCCCGCTTTGTTTTCTCTTGCCTCTCTAGTCTATCACCAGTGGATTTCATGTGACCCTCCTTTGATTGCAATGAATAAATACAGATGAGAAACTGCCATTTTCTGGAGCACTATCCCAATCCTTTGAGATACTGCTTCCCAGCTTTATTTGTATGGAATTACATCCCTCAGTTTCTAAGCTCCATTTCCCTTAACCCAGTCCTGGAAGATGTGCAGCTGCGGGCCCCACAGATG